AGTTTCAAAATGATTTTTTAGAAGCCTTATTGTCATTGATTTCTAATCTTAAAAACTTCAAGCAGTCTTCTTCAATAGAGTCTTAGAATAAATTTTTTACCTCTTCCTTCCCCCTTATAGCAATAAACTTTTAATTTTTAGTTCCAATGTTCCAAAATCTTTTATCCCCTTGGCTTTAATTTTTAGGTTTATTTACCTTCTTTGCCCAAGCAGGTTTTCCAGATTTCCGTCTGCTATTCCGTAGGGAAGGAGAGTGAGAAAAAATAACTTTCCCTTTCACAACTTTCTCGCCGCTTGCACAGTCTTTCTGGGAAACAATGTAGCAACAGAAAAGGCAAATTTCCAGGTTTTAAAGGCTCCTCTTTGTCCCGGTTCAGCCAGAAAAAAAACTTTCACCTTCTTCCTCCTGCGCAATCTTGTCCAGCTGCAGGCTTCTTTTTGGCAGCCATTACTGACCGCCGCTCCACCGCCTTGGGAAAAGGGGGTTTTGCTGGTTGGGGAGGGGGTCTGCGACACCCCCAAATGCCTATCCGGATCCCCCCTATCTTCAGCTGCCTCTACGGGGCAGCTATATCCTCCAAATCCAAAACGGGTCGGAGGAACCTCGGCAGCGAGCGCAGCAGGGATCGCGCAGGATCGCAAATCCCTGCCGCTGCCGAAGCCTTGCAAACCGGAAGTTCCCCATTTTCTCCCATCAATGCTGAATTCCAACTTTTCTGGCCATTGTGTGAGCGGCAGGCAAGCATGCATGTACACAGCTCTATTTGCATGCGTGGCAGGCATACACACCTGCCACTCACACAAATGGAACATGCATGCACAGGCCTGCCCACTGCTTGCACAAGTGGGGATACATGCATGATCTATTGAACATGCTCGCCCATTTCCATGGCCCATTTCCGAATGGTTCAAGGCCTGGTAGTGGGCCACAGCTCAGATGTTGGGAACTCCTGCATTAATGGATCAATCGTTTCCTTGACTTTTTTCTTGTGTTTTACATGTTGAAAGACGCTTATATTTGTTATTTTTGACTTTTATTGCAAGCTGTTAGGGTTTTGGGGATTAACCCCTAGAAGAGTATTGCAGCAGTAG